CTAAGTATTAAAATGAATTTAAGAAGCTAAATGAAATTATAAAAAAAAATTGTTTATCATTAAAACAATATGCTTATAAATATGAGTTATAATACTCAATTTGAAATGAATGTATACATTTAAGAAATAGTAGCTTATAAATTATCTTTTTACTAATTAATTACTATAAAATGTTATTAAAAACCTTATAATTACAAGGGTGTCAAATCTATAATATAAGTTACAATTAAAAATACAACGTATAAAATTAAATACCAGAATTGTTAAGAAAGTGTGAATTAATTGTTATGTTGATATAGCTTATTAATGTTTGATACTCTATGTTTATATAATTTGGCGATATATATATATATATATATATATATATATATATGAATGTTTTTCACATCATTTGAGACATGTGATAGGTGAGAAGTTTTTCATATTGAAAATTTTTTAAGAATTTCAAATCTTGAAAATCATGACTATCGAGAATAACTAAAATATATTTGGTTATTCATAATTTTTTTTAGAAATATTCATATATGATTCTTAGGAACTTAAGAGGTCACCTCGGGGTGGATTAATTTGTGGGTATAGTCGAGGTTGTCTCTAGTTAGGTTGGTACAATGAACTCGGCTCAGGTCGGCTCGAGTCAGGTTGGTACATAAGCCCCCCAAGCTCTGAGTGATGAAAGAGTGAAAGAGCTGAACACTATTAATTCCTGGGGGAATTTAATGCTAGGTGGCGTCGAAAGACATGTAGTAAAAATGGTGGGTGGCATTAAATGGGTGTGACACACGAAACGACAGGCACGCGGGGAGGCGCAAAGTTTGGGGGAGACGCTTGGGTTTTGGAGGGGTGTAAGGATCTCAATAAAGAGTTGCATAGACAAAGGCGCATACATTTGTATGCTTCCAGAGAAGTTCTAGGACGCAAAACGCGAAAGCATCATCGTCGTGTGTAAAGCCTTTTGCATTTCAGGTACTTCCTTAGCCCTGCTGCGTTGCGTTTAAGTTTTGGATACAGTCTGTACACATTCCTGAGGTTCAAGTTTTGTAGTGAGATTGAGATGAAAGGTAGCAAAGGCAAAGGTAAAATGGTTGAAGTGGAGGAGAAGAAAGGTCGAAAGAGAGGAGGGAACAATCGGAAGGACTCTCATCCCATAATAGAGGCATTTGGGTATGAATGGGTGAGAGGTGATGTGGGTCAGTATAGCAGTAGGTTTGGGGATTTAATGGGTGTGAGTGTTTTGCAGCACCACTTAAAATTTTGCGTGCCCCCTGTGTTGGAGAAAATTGTGATAGAACCTTGTGCGGCGGAGGAGCGTGTGTATTTTGAAGGGTCGAGTGCGTCTCCTAGTGTGTACATGTATAAGTGTGTGTTTAAGGATTTGGGCGTGTTGATGCCGTTTACGCCATTTGAGTGCGAGTTTCTGGAAAAGGTAAATATAACACCGAGTCAGTTACACCCAAATAGCTGGGGTTTCTTACGTGCGTTTCAAATATTATGTTCAGTATTAGGGATTGAAGTAAGTTTGCCAAGATTCATGCACTTTTATCAAATAAAATTAGGGGAGCGACCCTATGGTTGGGTTTCACTGAGTGCAAGTTCAAAGGGGGGAGGATTGTTCCGGATATTCACGCAATCATACAAAAATTTCAAAAAAGAATTTTTCAAAATTTGGTCTGTATGTAATGATCCAAGTTTAGATTGTTTGTTTTTCGTGGATGGGAAACCGAGATTCCCGTTTTACTAGCAGTCTCAGCCTATTAAATTCGTTGGTACGGAAGGTTTGGAATTAACCTCGGCCGAAGTTGAAGATATAGAAATTTTGCAAAAGCTACCTCGACCTTTAGAAAGCAAGTTAATTATAATGCTTGCTGGATCAGAGAATCCTCAAGAGGGTTTAGAAAGTAAGTTATAATTATAATGTCGGTAACGTTTACAGATATCTTGGATTGACCCTGACGCAATGTTATGCTGGCTGATGCAGGTATCATGGGGAGAAGTAAGTGGCATGAATTGAAGGGAAAATTCAACATAGAAGAGATTCTAGATGTCGCTTCTTCTAAGCCCAAAGTGAAAAAACAGAGGGTAGGAAGTGAAGAGCCAAAAACTAAGGAGCGTGGAATCGCTGATGATGTGGTTGGTGAGAAACACGAGGTTATTGTTCACAATTCAAGCTCGAGTTCTCCCAAAAAGGATGTTGAGAAAAATGTGACTACTCCTGTTATTGATTTAGAAAAAGAAAAGGTATGTTTCCAGTGTTGTCACCTGTTATGTGAAAGGGGGAATATGATTTATTCTTGTTATTTTAATTTCGAGTTGATTTTTTGCAGCCTTCCAATATGCAAGTCTCAGGATCATCAGAGCAATTGGTGTCTAATTTGGAGGCTTCACTCGCTCAACTCGGCGTAGGCTCGCCGACCACACCTGGGGGGTCGACCAAGAATCAACCAAGATCGATACATCAGAGGTACGATACCGAGCACCCGTTGGCGAGGTTAGATCACGTGAGTCTGTCACCCGACGTGAAGTCCTTTTGGAGTGCTGAGTTGACTACGGAGTCATTTTATAAGGAAGATCCAGCTTTTATTGCTGATAAGGCTTTAATTGAAAAGGTTGGCCCTATCCAAGGCTTAGATTCCGTGCATGTGTTTTTGCAGAGATCTATCGCTGTGGTGGATCATTGGAAGAAGAAATGGGATAAGAATGCTATTCTGATGTCCAAGTTAAGGACCGAGAATGCCCAGGTTGGGTCATTAAAGACTGAGGTTGGTAATTTAAAAAGAAAATTGGAGGAAAACTCGAAAGCTTTTGAGATATCTGTGAGGTCAAATAAGACCTATGCGGCTAAGGTGGAGGACCTTTTAAAGAAGGTGAATTTATTAGAAAAAGAAAAAGAGGTTCAAGCAAAAATTGTGAAGGGATTAGAGGCAAAAGCAAAGGATCATGAGGGGAGTATGCAAAACTTGAAGGACGAGATGGTGGAACTATACAAGAAAAACAAAACTTGCCAAGAAGTGATTGCTGCTAATGTACAAAAGATCGCAGGAATAGAGAACGAGAATAAAAAATTGAAGAAGGATATGGAGGCGACTGAGTACGAAGTTGTTGTAGAACATAAGAAGGGGTTTGCTAAATGTTTGCGGCAAGTGAAATGCATTGCTCCAGATGTTGATCTGACAGAAATTCACATCACCAAAGATGTGTTTAAGGGGAAACTGGTTAATGAAGATGACATCTCGGATGATATGAGCGGCGAGGAGAATAATGAATGATAGTATTTGTTTTCAGTGCCATAGTACAATTTGCGATAAGGTTGATATTTGTGGTTGCCTGTGTAGGCCAAACTCTTTGTGATATTTTTGATGTTTTATGGTGTTATGCTGAAAAGTAATACATGTGCAAATGTTTTATTTATCCCTTTTCATTTGTGCAGCTGGTTTGCAGCTTAAACCTGCCTTTTGAAATTAATTTCATGACATTCAATTTAGAGTTTCTTCCAAGCTGTTTAACAATTCTTCTCCCCTAACAATAAAAATGAAACTAAAATCAGAAGGGGTTGTTGGTTGTACATTTCTTTCCATGAATAAGAGAATAATTCATTAAGACAAGTAAATAGGGTATGAAACAAGATGGCTACAAAGATACTACACAGGTGTTAGGAGAAGAAAATATGCCAGGTCAAATCCAATTGCTACAAATGAATTCACTGCTTATTAGCAGCTTGTCAAATTATAAATATAGATGCCTTGTTTACAAGGCCATGCATCTACAGTTTAATAGTTTAAAATTGTTTAATTGGAATTCTTTGTTGCAGCTACAATATATTTGATGTAATATGTGTATTTTATGAATTTGAAATATTGTAAAGTGTCTCTGTTCTGCCTTACTCAAATCTACGCAGGAAGGTTGCAAGCTATCTTTTGCATTATGATTTCAGTTTACATTATTACATGATACTCTCATGCCTTAATCATTACTGATGCCATGCCATTTAATGTCTTAAATCAATGAAAGGCTTTAAAAAATGAGCATATGACTGCATTTTCCCCTGGTTTTATTATGTTCCAAATGGTGGAGTGATCACTGAAGCAGGGACTCGTGGATCGAACAAGTTCAACTGCTTGTTTTTTAGTAACATTGCAGCATGCCGATCAGTTCTTTATGGGAAGTTAATGGCCTTGGATACTTCTGCATCGGTGGTTCTTATATTGGAAGTTATAAGACTGTAAGATGGTTCATTATTTATACCATGGAGTGCCAGTTGGCCGGGTGGTAGAAATCGAAAGTGATGCATTAAATTGGTCATCTCATGAACCGAGGAAACATGGTTGTCAAGTGATGCAGTTTATTATTGTAAACTGTTATGAGACCATTTACTATTTAAAAGTTATACTGTAAGCGAATACACAGTTAAATGTATTTATTATTTTATAACAGCTGATGCACAGTTAGTGCCTCAATAATTCAATTTATATATTGGTGTTCTTGTGTTATGTATTTGTTTTGACTCATTTTTATGGGTTTTTTATTCCAATTTTTTGCATATTAATAATGCTAGAACCATTACATAGTCAACCCATGAAACTTCTGTTCTGCTGATCCTTTGATTGTTCTGCAACCAGCTTCTAAATTGCAAATGTTTTATTTATCCCTTTTCATTTGTGCAGCTGGTTTGCAGCTTAAACCTGCCTTTTGAAATTAATTTCATGACATTCAATTTAGAGTTTCTTCCAAGCTGTTTAACAATTCTTCTCCCCTACAAAATTATCAGCAAATAAGGATTATGATAAATGGTGGAATGAATATCAATTATTTGTCAAGGTTTCATAATAAAAATCCCACTACTTTAAAGCATTGTTGTTTTTAAAAATTAGATTACTAAGAAGCTCTACAATAAGTTTTAAAGAATAGAATTTTTCTCATCGAGCTCTAACCAGTTTATAAAGTGGGAGAGGGGATTCATTTTTCCATATGCTACCCTCTATGACAATGCATAGTGTTTGTAAGTATCATGTAAAGTAATCAATCCCTACAATTAAAAATTTCAATTGGCCCTTAGCAATCGGGAAGGGACCGAGTATGTCCATACCCCACCATGCAAAGGGCCATGCTGATTGCATTGAATGTAGTGCTGTTGCAGGTAATTGATGTAGGTTGCTAAATTTCTGACAGGCTTGACATTTTTGTACATATGCTTTACAATCCGATCTTATGGTTGGCCAGTAATAGCCAGCTCGGATCACTCTTGTAGCCATGGACCAAGATCTAGAGTGTAGGCCGCAAATACCCCTATGGATCTCGTCCATTACGTATCTAGCTTGATCCGAGTTAAAGCATTTTAAAAAGGGTACTGAGAATCCTCTTTTGAACAATTCACCGGCCTCGAGTGTGAAATGGCAAGCTTTGATTTTGATTTTTGAAGCTTCAACTTTATCGCTTGGTAAAGTGCCATCAGTGAGATATTGCCAGATGCTTGACATCCAGCTGGATTGACCCGGATCATTAGACAACACTGCCACAGAGTCATAGCTTGGTGCACTGATTGTTTCTTGAATGATTGTTTTGTGTTGTCCTGGGTGCTTGGTGCTGGCTAACTTGGATAATAAGTCGGCTCTAGCATTGTGCGCCCTTGGAACATGTTCAATCTGAAAATGGTCAAAAGAAGAGGTGAGATGAGATACCATAAGGTTGTACCTTTGCAGCTGAAGTTCTTTCGTTTGGTAGGCGCCTCCGACTTGCTCAGTAATTAACTTAGAATCGCTACAACATTTGAGTTTCTTAACACCCATGTCTTTTGCAAGTCGCAAACCTGCAAGTAGAGCTTCGTACTCTGCGTGGTGGTTAGTAGCTCCGAAATCGAATTTAATTGCAAGTGCAAGCATCATACCATCAGGACCTTCAAGGATAATCCCGGCACCACTACCTTTTGTATTAGACGAGCCATCGACATGCAAGATCCAACATGGATTTTCCAATTGAACGCTAGGTGTGAGTTCGGCTATGAAATCAGCAAGGCATTGTGCTTTCAACGCTCCTCGGCTTTCATACCTTATACCATATTCAGATAACTCGATTGACCAAGCTGTCATCCGACCTGCAAGATCGGGCTTTCTAAGTATCTGTTTAATGGGGTAGTCAGTCTTGACCACAATTTGATGACTGAAAATATGGGCAAAGTCGACGAGACGAGGTCACCAAGGCTAAGATCAACTTCTCAATGGTTTGATATCGCTGCTCGGTTGCCTGCAAAACACGACGGATAAAATAAATGGGAATTTGCCTCGTACCGTCAGCTTGCATGAGTGCTGCACTAATGGCGTTGTCGACAACAGCGAGGTATAACCAGAGATCAACTCGGTCCTGAGGTTTGGAAAGTATGGGAGGTGAAATCAAAAAACTTTTGAAGTTGGAAAAAGCTTCCTCACATTGGGCATCCCAGCAAAAGTTCTTAGGCTTCTTGAGCAAGTTAAAAATTGGTTTGGCTTTTTCTGCCATCTTGGGGATGAACCGAGATAGGCTGGCTAACCTGCCTGCCAACCTTTGTACTTCTTTGTGATTCTGGGGGCTTCTCATGTTGATCAGCGCCTGACACTTGTCCCTGCCTGCCAACCTCTGTACTTCTTTGTGATTCTGGGGGCTTCTCATGTTGATCAGCGCCTGACACTTGTCTGGATTTGCTTCGATTCCTCGGCGAGTTATCATAAATCCGAGGAATTTTCCACCTTGAACTCCAAAAACACACTTTTCAGGATTTAGTCTCATATTATGCCTTCTGACTTGTTGAAGAATTTCTTCGAGATCTTGGGCGTGATCTGCAGCTGACTTCGTTTTTATGACCATGTCGTCAACATAAACTTCAAGATTACGGCCGATCTGGTTAATGAAGACCTTGTCCATGAGTCTTTGGTATGTTGCTCCGGCATTTTTGAGTCCAAATGGCATGACATGATAGCAGTAATTTGCTTGTTCTGTGATAAAGGCGGTGTATTCTTCATCTGGGGGATACATGAGGATTTGGTTATAACCTGAATAGGCGTCTAAAAAACTTAGCATGGCATAACCTGAAGCTCCATCCACCAATCTATCGATGCTGGGTAGGGGGTATGCATCTTTTGGACACGCTTTATTAAGATCTGTATAATCAACACACATACGCCACTTGCCATTAGATTTTTTGACCATCACAACATTGGTTAGCCAAGTGGTGTAAGTAATCTCTCTGATGAACCCCGCATTCAGCAATTTTTGAGTTTCTATTTTTACAGCTTCTCTTCTTTCACCACCGATCTTTCTTTGCTTCTGGGATATTGGCTTTGCTTCTTTGTAAATAGCTAATTTGTGGCAAATAAAATTGGGGTCTATCCCTGGCATGTCTGCACTGCTCCAAGCAAAAAGATCAGCATTTTTAATTAAAATTGCCATGATTTTACCTCGGAGCTTGGGTTCTGTGTGCTTCCCGAGTTTGGTACATTGTCCCAGCTTCTTGCCAATTTGGAATTCGATCAAATCGTCAACAGGACTAGGTCGGTGATCGTACATGTCAACTCGGGGATCTAACTCAGTGAATTCGCTTTTTCTGACGTGGGCCACGACTGTAGAACTCGGCGTTTCAAGTTGAGGCTTTGGGGGAGTAATCTTCAGACTCTTAGCGTAACACTTCCTTGCCAGTTGCTGATTGGCTTTGATAGTGATAACATGTCCATCCATCCCCGGGAATTTCATTGTTAAATGGGGTGTAGAGACTACAGCTCCCAATTGGTTCAGAGTTGGTCTTCCGATGAGAATATTGTAAGAAGTGATAGCATCGACCAAAAGATATTTTACCAAAACTCTCCTGGAATTTGCAGCTGTACCAAAAGAGGTTAGTAATTCAATAAAACCACGGGTATGGACGCGTTCACCTGCAAAACCTACGAGAGGTTCAGAATGTGGTTGGATCATGCTGTGAGGGATGTCAAGTTTCAGAAAAGTTGGCCAGTACAACACATCGGCAGAGCTGCCTTGATCGATTAGTGTTTTTTGGACTTCCTAGTTGGTGACTTCAATCGAGATGACCATGGGTCATCTTGGTTTAGGTTGATGCCTTCGTAATCGTCATCAGTGAAGACGATATGAGGAGAGGGCGCGTCTGATTTGAATTCCAAACTGGAAAAGTTTTTAACATTATAGACACTGCGGAGATGTCGTTTCCGAGCCGAATTAGAGGATCCCCCTCCGGCGAAGCCGCTAGCAATAGTATTGATGACACCACGTATGTTGTTTCTTTCAGAGGGTTTATTTGTAGGTGGTGGATCAGTGTTGTTCGTACTCGGCTTGCTTTCTTCGTGAGCATTGGTTTGCTGTTGAGTATGTTGTTCAGATCGGCCCTGGTAGTTTGAATAACGTCCCTGATATCTGCCTGCGTGTCGGCCACGTCCTCTGCCACATCCTCGGAAACCTCCACGAGAATTCTGTCCGCGTTGAATATACTGTCCGAGTTGACCAGCCTGGATAAGTTCTTCAATGCGGTCTTTGAGACTCCAACATTCCTCCGTTGTATGTCCATAGTTTCGGTGGTAACGGCAGTGTTTGCTTTTGTCGGCGGTGGCCGAGTGTTGCGCGGGTGGAGGTAGTGAAATTAAATCTGCATGATTAGCTTCTTCCAAAATATTGACTCGTGGAGCATTAAGAGGTGTATAAAATTCATACCTGGGACCCCGTGATTGGCGGGGTCGTTTGAATTTCTGATCAAAAAGAGTTTTAGATTTTTCCCTGGAACTTGATTCTCCCTTAGTAGTAAAACTGTCGCGAACAGAATTTTGGAACTCGACGTGTTCCTCCATTTGAATGTATCCTGCTGCGCGGGCTCGAAGTTCATCCATACTGATTGGTTGATGTCGACACAGACTATCAACAAAAGGTCCAGGTTTCAATGCCATAAGCATAGAATGGAGAGCGACCTCAGGATTGAGATTGTGGATTTTGATAGAAACATTAGCAAAACGCTCCATAAAATGACGTAGAGACTCGTCATCCTGTTGTCGGAGATTTGAAAGTGCGACCGATGTGATGTGATGAGGTCTACTAGTGGCATACTGGGCAGAGAAAAGACGCACCAGAGTATTGAAATTATCTACCAATCTGGGTGGTAGTTAGGTATACCAACTAAGGGCGGCACCCTTAAGGGAGGTAAGGAAAACACGGCACATGATGGCATCTTCGTTTGTGTAAAGGTTGATTTGAGTGATATATGCATCAATGTGCTCATCCGGGTCTGAGGTGCCGTCGTATCGCTCGATGTTCAGTGGTTTTCAGGCAGGCGGGAGAGGAACTTCCATGATTCCGTCGACAAAAGGATGTCGACGGACGGAGTGACGATCACCAACTGGATGACTAATATGAGTTCGCTCAGAATGATGAGATCGAGTTGGATAGGTAGGATCTGGAGAGGAGTGATGTTCCTCGGCGGCGGGAGAGACATGACTGGTGTGTGGTGGTTGATGATTTTGCCATTGATTTCAAAAAGCAGTATGCTCGGCACGCATTTGTTGGAGGTCGGCCTCATGTTGCTTACGAAGATTTTCCATTGCTTCGGCATGTTGCTGTCGCATTAACTCGACTTGTTCGAGTAACCGTCGCAAAGTCGGGTTATCTTCCATGTTTGATGTGCTAGAACGTAATGGACTCGTCGCTCTGTTGGTCTGACTTCGGGTTGACACCATAAGGGAGGAGGAGGAGAAGTTTTATCAGGCCCTCCTTCTAGCGCCAAATGTACTTACACGAACTAGGTCATCTTCCTAACTCGGATAAGTCATCTCTTCTGCTCGGCTTGGTTGAGAGCGTACGAGGTTGATTGACAAGATGGGATTCCTTCTCTTCGGTCTCTCTGTTTGAGCGTCTCGGATGTACCTGCAAAAAGGACTCCGACGATCAAGTTAGCCTGAGTTCTCCAGTTTTGCATATCATTATATTATTACCTGTGGGGAGTTGTCCGAATAACTGTGCAACTGCCATATGGTTATCTTCTGAGGGTGGTTACTTGTCCTCGTTTTCGTTAACTTACCGAGGTATCTTAATGATGCCTTCTATGATATGTCAGCATTCTCTGACGTCATCTTGGCTTGCTTAAGAGGTCACCTCGGGGTGGATTAATTTGTGGGTATAGCCGAAGTTGGCTCTAGTTAGGTTGGTACAATGAACTCGGCTCAGGTCGGCTCGAGTCAGGTTGGTACAGTTACCAAAATTTTATTAATTTTACCTTTTAATCTTTATAATTAAAATTATCTTTTTTTGGTCATATACATGTTAATTTTGTTTTCTTTTAGTTCCTATAATTTTATAAACAATTTTTTAATTTTTATAACAATTGTAGATCAAGATAAAAAGGAAATAAAAATAAATATATAAAGACCTCTACTAGTCAGTTCATGTAGATCGAGCTGACCTTGTCAAATCCTCATCATAAAGCAAAATCATAGATGATTTATCTATGAACAATTACAAGAACACCCCCGTACCATATACTTTTTTAGAATCGTAGAGTCACATAATCAAACACAATATATATCTACCTAACTATCATGATATATCTTTGAAAATCATGCTAAGGTTTGTATTGGTGGCTCAAAGATACGATCAAACACTGAGGTACCAAAACTCATTTTAATGTTAATTCTACTCTTTACTTAAACTTCTCTCTAACCTAAATGTTGAAGTGTTTTTGAAAGTGTCCTGTGATGAATAATTAGAGTGTGAAGAATAACATCTACTTGAATGAAGATAACAAGAAGACCTAAATAAATATTTTTAACTATAAAGATTAAAATATTTCATAATTAAAAAGGTAATCAAACATATTTATAACTTAATATTATTTATTAATTATAATAATTAAAGCATAATACAACCATGAGAGGTGAGAGGTGGTAAGGAAAATGGTACATGTAAGGCAGGCAGGAGACGAAGATGAATTGCAATTGCATCACTCATTCAGAAGTAGAACTCCACTGTCCCATTTGATTTGAAATGGAGACAATTGAGACTGGAACAAATTTGATTAAGAAATACCTTTAATAAGAAGAATTAAAAAAAAAAAAAAA